GAGGTACAAAGCGCACACCCTGGGCGGCGCACACCTGGCTGGTGTTCAAATGCGCCGCTTTCACAGCAGCATATTGGGATGCGGCAGAAAGGGCTTGCTGCCCGTCCTGCGCAAGGGACTCCTGCCGCTGTGGGGCCGTGACGGCCAGGTCAAGTGCAGCAGGGCCCCCAGCAGTAGTCTGCTCTTCTTTCACAGAAGGCGAACTCCAGCCGCCATTGCTGGAGCACATGATGTCCAAATTCGACCGGTCGTTTTGGGGTTACTCCCATATGTTTTGCTATGTTGTTGTTGAAGTTGTGGGGCCTTCGTTTTGGGTTACGCCTTGATTTACCGGGTTTTGGCACGGGATCGCCCGAAAAGTACTGGCTGAGATGCAGCATTTTGCCTGTCGCATCCTGTCGCGCATTTTGATGCCTTCCTAAAGCGCAAGGCTACAAGCGGTCATGGCACTTCCATGGAAAAGTTTCGCTATCGGATGAGTTCAGGCAACATTGCGATAGAACCAGCAACATTTGCGCAGCTTGCCAGCACTTGGGGGTCGAGCTCTCTCAAACCATTTTTCGGTGTTTTCCAGAAATTGATGGGGCTCTTCCAAACCTTTGCAGCTTTCCTAAGCAATTTTTTCGGAGCTGTTTTGGTGCTATTTGCTGTTCAGCTGAGGGTCGTTTAGGGTTCAGGGTTTATGCTTTTAGCTTCGTGGTTCTCCTGTGCTTCTGGGTCTCCCAGACCTGTTTGGGGGCTGGATGGGGCTGGTTTTGGCGCTCTCCCAAACCACTTGGGCTGTTTCGTTGCAGACCTATTTGGGGCTGTGGTGTGTTGGGGCTCTCCCTGCTTTGGCTCCCCGACCATTTTCGGGTGATTTATTTCTGGGTTGCTGGATGCTTTGGGGCGAGGCAGGGACTTGTGCACAGCACCGACTAGTTTAGATTTTTTAAAAAAAGAAGGCAAACACACTTGCATGTCCAATCGTGCAAGCATACAATTTCCTTGCATTTTTGGCTTGAGGGTTCGGGGTTTAGGGTTGCTCATGGAGTCCCAAACCCCTAAACTAAGACATAGCACACTGAAAGCACCATCAGGCAAGGCGATTTCTAAGTTGCGAGTCGACCTCCACAGCTACAACCCGAAACCCCAGACCCTAAAACCAAAACCCTAACCTATCTATCTATCTATATGTACACCGCTGCAAGCTTGCACCCCTGTGAGTAGAATCACATCTTTTCTTGCTGGTAAGCGGTAACCAGGGAAAATCAGGCCTGCCGTGCAATCTTGCATCAGCATCCTTCCAGATCATTACCTAATCCCCTGCCCGAACATTAAAAACCCCCCACCCCCTAATATAAAATGTTCTCGTTGTGGTATAATATAATGTATCGGGAAGAATGAATATTGAATATTAGAAGGGGTGGGGGCTCTCAATATTGGGGGGAGAGAATCACATTTCAAACGTATTGCCAGCTCCTAGGTTCCTACGGGGCTAGGTGCTGGCACTGTCCGAGGCTTCAGGACCAGCTTGGGACGTCCGCCGCCTGGATCCTGTGGCCCATGGAAGACGCAAGCAGCTTCTGGGGACCTACAAGCCTGTTTAGGCTTTAGGGTTTAGGTGAGTGTTGCTACTTTTACTACAAGCTCTACCATTAGTCTCTAGGATTTGCTCCGATTACGCTTATTCCATTGCCACCAACACTACTATTACTACTTTTACTGCTAGCTATGGTATTCTTACCATTTATTTATGATGACGCTTATCACCTATTAATACTATTATTACATGTATTGCTCTACATACTTCTTATAATTCTTACTATTGTTATTCTTGCTGCTCTCATCCCTAAACCCTAGACCCCAAAGCCCCAAACCCTAAACACTGAATCGTAATTATGGTAACACTGCTTTCCCATCAGCCTTCTGCAGCGCTGGGCCAGCTTTTGCACTTGGCCTGGCGACGTCCCGAGACGCTTGTACATGGTTCAGGACTTCGGGTTTAGGGTTTTCGGGTGTTTAGCGCTTGGGGTTTAGGGTTTAGGGTTTGGGCAAAAAAAGGTTTTTTGCGCCAACCGTTTTCCAGCGTTTAGGGTTTGCGGATTGCGGGTTCAGATGCAATAAGGGTCCATAGCAGCCCCTATGTATATATATATATATGTATATAAGCATAACCCTGATATCATTCATAGCCCCTATATGCACCTATGTAGTCAATCTATGATTCCATAAACTCACTGTTTTGGTGCTTGAACCAAGTCAGATAGTATTCTTCCTGCATAAATACCATTTCCAAAAAGAGGATACAATCCCACTCAATGTTGGAGACCATGGTATCCCAAGATAAGATGATCCCTCTATGATTTCATAAACTTCATCATACACTAAGAAAACATCACACATCATCCCTAATTATATAAGCCCAAGAAGCTCACTTAAAAACCTTATATAATCTCCGTTGTGAATGGTGCATGCACGAAGGTGAGGGCGCGCCCTGTAGCCACGCTTTGCGGGGCGGCCGCCTCAATCCGAATCAGACTCAAGCGCAACCAGTAATAACAGCAATCGCTGTAGCATTCGTAACAATATTCACCATAACAACCACAATAGCGGCAATATTGGTAATTTAACAGGACACTCTAACGGTGATAATAGCAATAATCGTATTTAATAGCAATGAGAATAACAATAATAGCTTGCAAGATCTTGCAAGCCATATGATGATTCCAACCCTACACAGCAAATTAATGGGTTGCAGTTAAGGAACTTAATTCAAATTCCTATATTGGGGAAACCATATTTATTGCTATATATATATATGCCCAATATGGTGAATGTCAAGAGAAACTTGGGCAGGAACTGGCATGTTGGAAGTCACCGAGGTCACCGAGGGTCTGTTTTTCTCCCCCATCGGCTGCGACGCGGGTGCCGCATCAGCCTTGAAAAAGGCTTCCTCTTTGGGGGTCCCCAAAGAAGGTTATAGTATTATGGGGGTCTATATTGGGACCCCCATTGGGGAAGTACCATTTTGTTGCCTTCAGCTCGGCCACCCTCCACAAAACTTGAAGGACACAGACACATGTAGCATGCCGGCCTGATGAGCCATGACTGTCATTGAAGCTGTTGACCTAACACAGAGTTGCGATTGACACGCCTAAGGACGCTCTTGCTGGGGAATGTGCACAGCAGCCAGCGGCCCCTGCTTGGAAACCTGCACGGAAAACCCGCCATGTCAGCATGATTCTGCGCGAACATGCAAGGAGCACCTCTGCCACTTGGTGCGTGGGAGTTGGCGGGCCCACCTAAATCATGCCAACGAACTGTCGAGCATAAAAGCATTGCATGACAACACCGGCAGTTTCTGCCTAAGAGTATCGCACAAGAATTTTGGATCTAGGCTACGCTGCACGGCCCTAAGCTTGGTGAAACACATGGTGGTTTTCGCGAATAGGGACCCCAATATAGATCCCCAAGTAGTACATGCCTCATTCTGGGGACCCCCAATTTACGGAAAAGACTTATCGGCAACCGCTGGACAGCTGCATCTGGCTCTTGGCTCAACTCCTGGTGCTTGGAGGCGGGCTAATGTCTCGACCCAATATCTCGGAGCATAGTTTTGCTCGCAATTGTAGGGTTCGCTCTCTTTCAAACTCCACCTCACGCTTGAGGGCGCTGCAGCGGGCTTTGTAGCCCTCCAGTGTCACAGGTTGCGAGGTGAGCAGCACTGATTCGACGGCTGCCTGTGCAGTTCGTGGCCTTGCTGATGCAGCGCCCGTTCCTGGACGATCACTCCCAAGCATTTGCTTCCTGCGCAGGAGTTCAGCCTCCTTCTCCTCGAGCTGGACCCGCAGTTGTCGGCTCTTGGCTGCTGTCTCATGCATAGTCTTATTGGCATCTTCCAATTCACGAAGACGATCTCGCAGCGCAGCTGTGCCGAGAATCGGCTCTTTGGCCTCACGGCGCAGACTTTGGACTTGCTTCTGCAGATTCTCGCATTCGACCTGGGTTGTTTGCAGGCGTAGCTGCAAGGCCTTGGTATATTCTTGATACTTTTCGACGTCCTCCCAGGCATTCTCCGAAGCTGACGGCACGGTCAATGCCGGCTCCGGCCCAACTTGTGGCGAACCAGATCGCGGCCTGGAGCTGCTGCGGGACCGTGGTCTTGAGCTGGACCTGGTGCGGCCTGTGCTTCGGGCTGGTGGCGAGGCATCTGGGAGGACAGGAGCTGTCTTCGGGCGAAGGCCGTAGGAACTGCCGGGCCGCCTCTCCAAACCCACTTCCTCTGCACAAGCAAAGAACTCCGCGGCAAGCTGCCTATCGACGCCGGCAAGCACATCCCCATCCAGTTCTTTGAGACCTGGCAGTTCCCCTACATAGTGGGACCCCAATACATATACCATAGTCCTTAGTCTAGGGACCCCCAAAAAGGTACCCCTAATTTTGGATAACCCCCACCTGGCAGGGCTCTCACGACCCCGTGCCTGTGAGCGATGTCCTGGAAGCAAGGATTCCCGCCAAGGTCCAGCGCGGCCAACTGTGGAAATCTGCTCAAATGTTCGATCAACCTGGGTTGCTGTTAAGGAACTTAAATTAAGTTACCATAATGGGTATATATAGTAAATAATAGGGTTTCCCCAATATAGTAACTGCATTTAAGCTCCTTAACAGCCACCCAGCAACGTGTCTAAATCCGGAAGAAGGTTGCTGTAAAGCGACAGTCTTCTGAGCCGTGGAAGTTCTTCCAGTCCCCCTACTGTTGTAACCCGGTTGTTGGCAGCCAGCAAGACCTTGAGCAGGGGACAAGCGCACACTGCGCTGAGGTCACCTAACCGGTTCTGGTTGACATTCAACTCCTCCAAGCACGGAAGTGTTGAAATTGGACCAAGATCTTCCAAAGCGTTGTGGGAGAGGGAAACAATGCGCAAAGTGGCCCGGTGCGGAAAATGCAGGGCTTGCAGGTCTCTCAATCCCTTTCTTCGAAGAATCAGCTGTGTTGAATCATCAGATTCATCCTGGCCATTTTCCATGGCAAGTGTTTGAACTACATGTTGGCCAGCTTCAGGTTTATTCTGCTAGCACTGAGTTACATCTTTGTGGGGTTGTCCACCTCAGGCTGGAAATTCTGGGTTGTTCAGTGGCACTTGTACGCGATGCTGGCCACGAGCACATTCTCTGCTCGCATAGGGCTGCAGACTGCGCAGGACAGAAAAGCCGTGACGCATGGTTGAACAAACGCTGTATCGCAAAGGGTTTTTGTTACTATGTTTACAATTGTTACTACTATTAGCAGCACAATTATTGTTACAACTATTACTGCCATTATATCATTCGATTGTTATTATTACCATTTCGAGTACGATTATTCTCACTATTATTTCTACTATTATTTCTATTGGTACTACTATCCATTACTATTTCTATCGTTACTCCTATTTTACTCCGACCAGTAGTTGTAAAATCTTACTATAACTGTTGTTGTTAACCCAAGTTTGGGAATCGGGTTTACGGTTTAGGGGTATCTTTAAAGGCGATAGGAGTGTTATACAGTGGGGTGCCATTTTCGTTGATATAGGGATTTGGGTTTCCCAAAATTGGGGGGTCCCTTTTGGGGGGTCCATATAATCAGGATTATATAGCATTTTGGTGGTCTATATTGGGGTCCCCCTATTGTATCTAAACCTTAAACCCTAAAGGTCATGCTCTGCAGGGCGCTTCGACGATAATCTCCCTAAACCCTAAACCCTAAACCCCAAACCCTAAACCCTAAAACCCTCTTGTGCTGGGGGCAGGTCTTGCACGAGAGAAGTTCTCCGAACCGGTGAGGACACCTCGGCTTTAGGGTTTAGGTTGGGTACTGCCCCCCAGTAACAGTCTATACTAGGGGTCCTATTAAGGGCTTAGGGTTTAGGGGGTTTAGGGTTTAGGGCTATATCAGGGGTCCTATTAAGGGCTATATATAACCATAGTACAAATATTATCCAACTGTTACTGAGGGCCCCACTCAGTAACAGTTGGATAATAATTATAATATGGTTATATATAGCCCTTAATAGGACCCCTAATATAGACTGTTACTGGGTGGGGGCAGTACCCAAGATTTAGGGTCTAGTCTAGCACGGGAAAGATGGAAAGCACGAAGCCATCCATCCATACTGCGACATATCTCAACGTAATCCTACACCGTAAGCCCCAAACCTTAAACCCTAAACCCTAAACCCTAAATAGTAGTTTCCATTTTCTTGTCCATTGTCCCAATGAAACCACCATATATCCCCTAAACCCTAAACCCCTATATAAACCCCTAAACCCAGTAAACCCCTGTATAAACCCCTAAACCCTTTTGCATCCAGCCTGCAGCGCATCTGCTGGGAAAGGTAGGGGGAGCATGCTTCACACCACTCCCTTGTTTGCAGCCCCTAAACCCTAAACCCCTGAACCCTAAACCCCTATATAAACCCCTAGACCCTAAACCCCTAAACCCCTATATAAACCCCTATATATACCCCTAAACCCAGAGAACCCGGCCCGAGCAGCTGTGGCAGCATTGGCTGTTACCACTGGCGCTGGAGGCTCGGAGCGCTTCTTCAGGACCAACCTCTCGATTTATATAGGGGTTATATAGGGTTTTAGGATGTTTTAGGGGTTGGGGGTTTAGGGTTTAGGGTTTTGGGGTTTAGGGTTTAGGGTTTAGGGGTTTGGGGGTTTGGGGGTTTGGGGGTTTTGGGTTTAGGGAATGTGGCTGTTTTGGAGTTTTACAGGGGTTATATAGGGGTTGTACAAGGATAATGGAAAAGAAAATGGAAACTACTATTTGGGGTTTAGGGTTTAGGGGGTTATTACTATTTCGGGTTTAGGGTTTAAGGTTTATAGTGTTTAGGGTTTAAGGTTTAGGGTTCAAGAGTTTAAGGTTTAGGGTTTAGGGTTCAAGGTTCAGGAAATTACCATGGACAATTAAATCGAAACTAGGATTCCATGGTAGCTTCCACATAATGAACCGCAAATTCGACAGTCCTTCTTATTGGGACCCCCACAAAAGTACCTGCAATTTTGGGAAAGCCCCATGTCTGGAGGTGGCACACAGAGAACTGTAAACCCTAAACCCCTAAACCCTAAACCCGAAACCCCTAAACCCTAAACCCCTAAACCCTAAACCCCTAAACCCTAAACCTAACTGCCGTGGCCTCGGCCTCCCGCCAGAAGGATCCGGCTGAAGGGCAGGCGCCTCGGCTGCAGGAGCAGGCTTGATACGTTGCATTGGGGATCTGGGGGGTTTTATGGCGATGGGGATTTTTAGGGTTTAGGGTTAAGGTTTAGGGTTTAGGGTTTAGGGATTCTAGGGTTTCGGGGTAATTGGGCTTTTAAGGTTTAGGGCCTAGGGTGGTTGGTGGTTGGCTGTCATGCCAGCCCAGGCACTGCTTTTCCTTGCGGTGAAGTCTTCGAAGTGGCGACTGGCTGGTTCTGACCTACCTCGGTTCTAAGTAGGAATGAGATATTTAAAACCTGCAGATTGCATAGGATCATCTGAACTATGTGGGGTTATGTAAGATTATATAGGAGTAAAAACTACGCATCTCCAATTGCCAGGCAGAGACCGTAGGTCTTTAACTGTTACCACGACATACCACGACTATTACTAGTGCTGTTATTATTAACTCCCAGCATCCCCCTTTTCACCCCTATACTACTCCCCTACATAACCCCCTATATAACCTCCTTTGAGGAGTGTAGAGCATATTCGTACTCTTATTGCTATTACTACTGACATGAGGCTTTCACATCAGCTTCCTTCGAAGACTTGGGCACCGTCGTCGCTGAGGCTTGCGTGGGAACCTTGGCAGCCAAGCGGTTTAGGGTTTGGGGTTTAGGGTTAAGGGTAGCAGAGCACGACTAAGAAAACATCTGGGTTGTTGCTTAAGGAACTTAATTTAAGTTACTATGTTGGGGAACCCATTTATTTACTACATATATATGTGTGTATATATATATATACCCATTATGGTAGCTTGATTAAGTTCCCGAACAGTAACCCAGTCAAAGGGTGACATATACCGGCTCTTTGGTGCCGAGGAACTGATTTGGCAGGTAGCTTCCCGATGGATTGCACAGCCTGTGCTGCGGGAATCTGCGGTGTCGAGTTCTGTGACTTCGCCACAGCTAGAGGCGCAGATTGCTTGGGCACGGCCTTGGATCCCATTCCGCTAGTATATAGTAGTTTCCATTTTCTTTTCCATTATTCCCATATAACCCCAATATAACCCCAACATAACCCCAATATAAACCCCATATAAACCCTATAATCCCTATAGTTACAGGCAGGAACACACTCTATGAAGTTGAAACCGGGGCACTGATGGAGTTGGCGACGGAGGCATCTGAGTCTGCTGAGCCCGCGCCGGCGCCGATGGCGCTGGCGCCGGCTTGGCCGACGGGGCTTGGGCAGGTGGCCTTAGACCAAGTTTAAGAGCCTTATAAGAGCCTTAGACCAGGTTTAGGGCCTTGTAAGGGCCTTAAACCAGGTTTAAGGGTCTTCTCAGGCTGTTGCGGCTGCACAGGCTGTGAGGCTGACACAGAAGCAGGCTGCAAGGCTGCCTGGGCACATCTTAAGACTGGCACTGCCCTCAATTGAGGGTTTCCAAGATTGGCGGGTACCTTTCGGGGGTCCCAATAATAAAGACTATAGTATATGCGGGTCTATATTGGCGTCACCCTTTTAGGGAAGCTACAGTATCAAATTTTGTGTAACTACATGTGGGTGGTTGTCAAAAATTATGGTCCCTTTTCAAATGCCCTAAATATTAGGTGCCGTATTATAGTAGGGATCCAAAAAGGGACCATAATTTTGACAACCACCCATGTAGCTACGCAACAACTGACGATCATGTTGGCCTAAACACCACATCACAACCAACCAGGCAATAAAAGTACAGTTTCTGGTGAGAGAAGACACCACACCATCTACTCCCTCGCATCCCATAGCGCTACGCCAGGCAGATTTGGGCATGCACGTGCCTGATTGAGCTGGATCCTAGGATATTTGGCCAAGGGTCTGTGGCTTCTTCTG